TAAATCAATCCATGAACTCATAGTAATAATATGTTGGTTAGTTGTTTCATGAGTTCTAAGCTTAGTAGTAAGATTTTTTTCAATCTCTACTACCTTCATTAGCAACTTATTATTCTTTGCATTAAAGGTCGTATTAAATAACTTACAACAAAAATAGCATACCTTTTTCAAATCTTTGGAATAAATTAACCATCTTCTTTCATGTCTTTCTCCATTTGCCAACTTTTGAAAATAATATGTAGTAGAAAAGTGTCTTACAAATTTATCTTTTGAAAAACATGTGTTGGTAATTCTAATTGGTCCCTTTTCTACTAATAAGTCTCTTAACTTTGTATCAACAATATTCCATTGACTAGGATCATAGATATTTTTAGAAGTACGATTATTTAATTCATTTATAAGTTCTTAATTTTCTTGGGAATCTACATCTGACTTTTCACTTATTTCCTCTCCTTCTTTTTGATTTATATCATTATCTAACTCAACTTCAACTAAGTTAGTGACTTGTTCTTCTAAAGAGCATTCCCCTACCTTTTTTGATTTAATCTTAACATTGTTTTCCAAAAAATTATCAAGAGCACCTTTTTGAGATTTTATCAAGTTATCGACTTTTCTTTTTCTTTTAATTTTCGAATGACCGAATTCATATTTTCTAGTTGACATATTAAATCTAACAAATATTTTAAACACTATTTACAATATCAAATAAAAAATGTAATAAACATAAGACACAAAACAAAAGTAATATTAGAAATTAGAATGATATTACCGGATTCAAGAACTATGAAGACTTGATTTCCAAAAATGAATTGGGCTACTGCGATATATTTTCCTCCCAATTTAAAACATAAACTATATTTTTTTTAAAATTGAAATTATCAATAGAATAAGTAAATTCTTAAACTTTAAATAAGAGAGATGTAAGATTAGAAAAGAGAAAGAGAGAAGAAATAGAAGAGAGGAAGAGAAAAGGATATATATATATATATAAAAATAAAATTAGAAAAAGAATATGGTAAAAAAAAAAAAAGATAACTTGTACAATTAAAAAAAAGTACACATTGAAAAGGTCAAAAGTAAGAGTCATATCAAATCACCTCATAATGCCGTTTGGATTTGGAGTCTTAGTTCTAATTTTTTTTTTTAGTTTAATCCTACCTAATAAACTAAAAAATGGGGGGCCCTAAAATTGGGGGCCTAAGGTCAAAATCTTTTTTTCAACCCTTACCAACCGCCCCTGGCTGCATCTAACCATACAAGGCCATATATGCGCTTATATGTGGTGTATTTTCAGTACAAGTCTCTTGATTTGGGGTGTATTTACGCATTCAGTCAGCATACATTATCCATAATTTTGCTATGTTTTGAGTATAAGTTCATGTAAATCCATTTGTTTTACATATAACTAATATGGTGATGTCATATATATGATTAGATTGATTTTAGGCTAGAAGTAACAACATTTGACCCGAAAGATGGGTTGGAACTCAAAGCAAATCATCCAGGACAGAAATGCAGCAAAGACTGGCTGATGAAGGGGCTCTGGCCTCTGTGGTACGAGGCATACACAATGCGTCGGTCACCACACCCCACCTGTTGAGAAACTTGTTTATGTGGCAGAATTCTTTTGGATTTGCGACACACTGAAAAGTAGACAACACTCATGATGGACCTCACAGTGCGGACCTTCTTCTTCGTGATGGAGGTTGTGTCGCACCCCTGTCTTATGTAGAATTAGAGTTGATATAGACAGAGCAGATTCTTCTTGTGATTCAATTTTTCTTTCTATATTAATTATTGATAGATTATAAGGATGACATTTTAGGGTTACAAAGTAGAGTTATGTCACGACCCAAAACTCGAACTATCATGACACCTACAATAACCCTCTAGTAGGTATGCAAAAATCCAAACTATAGCGAAAGATAAATACTAAACAAGAGATAAGCGGAAGCAAAAAAGAGATAAATGGACCAACATGAATAAATATATACATAAAAGGTACAAAATATACAACATGAACATTTATGAACAAGAAAAAATATACATATACAGAAGATACCACCCTAATCAGATGTCACATGTTTAAGAGCTACCAACATTACGAGAATAAGGTTGTACAATACATAAATTTCAGACAATATACAAAATATACACAGTAAATACAAGATGGAAAGTAGTAACGTAACCCTCTATATGCCAAGACACTACAAAAAAGGACTTAAAAATAATGTGCAAATAAGAGGGATTGCATCATTTACTGGGATTGTACCACAAAACATGTGAAGATGAGTACCAATGCAATGCATGCTTCACCATCATCCAAACAATAACATCTAAGCAACCAAATGTACTTAACCAAAATTGTGTTCCTAGAGCTTAGAAAACTAACCTGGAACCCAACTAGTCCTTGACCAAGGCCTTGAGCCCAACAATTTTCAAACATACACAACAATATTATCATAACATGATCACCACAACTTAGGAAATGAACAAAATTATAAAGAATCGACAACAGGAAGAGTAACTCACGGATCTCAAACTTTACCTGAAGGTACCACTCAAGTGAAAACCTAGTGCAATTAATGCGAACCTACGGCTATGACAAAACAACAAAGGTTACAAACCTAATATAAGATAGAGATTCATAAAACTTATTCTGAAGCGCCAAATATCAACTCCAAATAGGATGACAACACCAAACTAAGCCACAGGTAAGGAATTAATGATAAACGCTCAACCATGTCCCATTTTTAAGGGCATAGGCGGTTGTATGCAAAACAATACCAAACTTAAAAAGTAGGGGTCAAATCACAAGTATTAAAGGAGATGGAATTTCCTTTAATTGATTTCACAATTTAAAAAAGATTAACAAATTGAATTATCAACACACATATATATAAAATAAGGGGGGTATTTCGTATCAACTAACATTCGTCAATATCAAGTAACAAAATAAGGAATCAATGCAAATTTGATCTACCAAGTTTGAAAAATTTAATGACGCTTCATGTCATTTCTCTGTTTTCTGATTCTTTTTCTGCGTTTAGAGATTTTCTATAGACAGTTCGGTTTTCTGGTCATTTGTTTGAGTTTTGTGCAATTTTAAGTGTTTTGGAGTTTCATAAGTTTGAACGATTGAATTTGATCAAAACATCATGTAGAAACCCTTAAAATGGAATACTAAGGGTAGCTCCAAAATGTCGAGTTTTTTTCTAGAAGGAACTTTGGTGTGGGTACTGAGGCTTTTTGGCTCATTTAGAGCCTCCCCGTGGAAGTTTGCTTAAAACGGAGCTTGGGTGTGGGACCCACCTTTTATTGAGACGACCTAAGTTGGAAGATTGTGTTAGCCTCCCAAGCATTCAAGGATTTCGATTAATAGCAATAAGTCTACCTTCAAGTGCAGAACTAGACGAAGTCCAATTGAATCCATCAGGATTCAATCAAGCGAAAATGGAATCACAAGGAAGGATCAATCAAGTGAAAAGGGAATCACAATGAAGGAAAGCAGAAGATACTCTATATCCTCAAATATCTCTTGATTGACGGAACTCCACGAATCAAGGAACATTGATGGAGACAAAGCTGGATCTCCAGACATCAAGGAAGACAGAGCAGGAAAGACGTAAAAGGTATAATCTCTTTGATAGGTGGTGGGTCTTGCTTAAAATCAAGTCTTGAACCCTATGAGTGATGCATCTTGATTTCACTAGAGATAGGAAATGATTTGATGTTAGAATCTTGTTGAAATTCTTAGATTTATGGTGTAAGAGACCTCTAGGGGGCCACCAAAGAGTGAAAAGGGAGAAAAGAAACCTTAAATAGCGTTTTTATGAAATTATGGAAATATTGATATACAGACCATATACCTGATATACGGACCATAAAATGGACAGAAAATTTATCTATCCCAATGCCTAGTCATTGCTTGAGACTTACAGTCCGTAGTGGCCTTGTACGGGCCGTAAAATCTACCAACTTCTTTCTCCCGATTTGGATTGACAACGGTTGGATGCGTAGAAAACTAGACTCAAAGGACTATAATTTGATAGGTTATGTCTAATTTCAAATTGCATATATTATACAAGAATTTTTATAGAAGATTTAAATTAAAATTCTTGGAACTATTCAAACCATAGTCTGATAGTTCGAGATGTTACAAATGAAGAGTAGATATCAGACTTTAAGGGTCAAATAAATTGCAGAAACTTACATGGAAAATAAAAAGGAACACACAGTCATCCAAAGACTGAGGACAGACCCGGGTAGTTTCTCATTGAAGCACCCTTAATGCTTGTAGCTTTTTGATGTTACATATGTAGATTTCATTCTGGGAAAAAGATATTCAGTACTCAAACAAAACCTGAATGGGTCGATAATCTCATTTTGCACGTCTAGTAAAATTTGATCTGCAAAAAAGAAATAAATTTTAGAGCAATCTTTTGCAATGCATTTGAGTCATTATTGAGCACCAATTGAATTACTTGTTCCTATATGTCAGTCTGTGCATAAAATTACTTCAGAAACGAGTAATTATTCATATTTCAAGGACTACATAAACGAAGTAAGAAAACAAAAGGTTCCAAGTGAAAAATCCAAATGAAATATTGGGAAAAAAACCCACATATATAATCCACATGTATTCTTAATAATTGAATATATCCCCCATTATAAAGAGTACATTTTGGAAAAGACTCTTGTTGCATGCATGATTATCATGCCCAACAAAGAAATTTTCTTACGAACCAACTCCACGGATGTAAGGTCACGCAAACCAGGGAGACTCTTTGAACCATAGAGATATGTGATTGCTCCTTTCTTTAAAGGAATATAGACATTCCTTGTATGATGAAGAATTTGAAGAACAACAGTTTGCTTCAAGTGGAAGTGCAAAATGATAAAGGTAAGGCACAGAATCCGATTCATTGATAAAATAATCATTCAAAAACTGAAAGAGAAACAGAGGCTTACACAAGTTCTGAATGGTCGTGAACCCCATGTTAATTACTCGAAGATGAGAAATCTTGAACCACTGACAGTTTGGTGCAACTTTCTTTTAACTGTGGGCAGCCTTCAATTTGCAGGCTCCATAATTTGGTGAGGCGTTGCATGACATCTCTGGATGGCAGATGCTTTAGTTTTTCGCACTTTGATAAAGTTAACACTTCCAAAGAAATAAGGTTGACGATTCCATCCATCAGAGCTTCTAACAATGGACAATCATCTATCCACAAATACCGCAATTTGGGCATGACATGTAACAAGTCCACATGTTGTAGCCGTTTGCAGCTCCTTAGCTCTAATGTTTCAAGAGAAGTAAGATTTCCAAGTGTATGAGGAATAGCCTTGATTCCAAAGTCATATATTCGGATATGAGTTAGGAAAGAGAGTTGCATAAGCTGATAGGGCAGAGAATCCCAGTGCAAACGTCCGTACACATACAATCTACGAAAGGACAACAACTGCTGAATGCCATTAAATATCAATTGGAATGCCTCAAAATCCACCATCTCTGAGAAAGGACCAATACACAATGCCCTTAACCCGGTGAGACGGTGAAGTCCCCCTGCGGGTACACTAATCAATTTTGGACATTCTGATATATCCAAATCTGAAAGTGAAGGCATTTCCCACACATGTAAAGGAAAGGAAACTAAGTTGTTACAGTAGCTGACCAACAAGGTCTCCAGAGACCGACAATGCTCTACCATTCCACTTGGTAAAATGGTCAGTTCATCACAACAAAATAACTGAAGACTTTGAAGGGAAGTCAAATAATTCTCTCCACTTGGAACAGGAAAGGAACTGAAATTGGTGCAGAAGGATATTTCTAAGCTCTTAAGAGAATGGAGATTGTACAAGCTTTGTGGAAATTCACGAAACTCTCCACAGTCTGAGACTGACAGGAATTGAAGAGAAACATTGTTGCGTAGAATTTCATCTGGAAGACAAGTGAGCTCTTTCACATCACTGAGATCAAGTTTTACTAGAGATGTCAAGTTGCTGCACAAGTTCAACAATGGCATTCCACTGTCAACTCCTTCAATTATTAATTCACGTAGGATTTCAAATTGATTTGGAGTACTTTTTAGCAATGGACACTTTGTAATCCTCAGCTTCTCAAGCCCAGGGAACATTCTTACTCCAATTACTTCATCTCTACCACCATTTGTTGTTGGTATCAATTCCACTCCCTTCCACTCAATAAGGCTAGGCATATCCTCCAATACTAGTTCTTTCAATGACGGGAACACTTGGATATTTCCATTATTGTTACCATCAATCGCATAAAATGTAGTTCCAATACACTCCACCTTATGGAACCCTACCAGCTCAAGATGCCGAAGGAATTTCAGTTGGCCAAGCAATGGAATTTTTGTGCACCTTTTGCAATCAATTAACTTTAACTTGACTAAATTTGGTAGAAATTTTTCACTGAACCATGAAGGAAATCTAGTCCCTAAATACTCCTCCACTTCTAAGGTTTTCAAGTTCGGATGCGGTTGAAGGCCATCCAACACATGCTCATCATTAGTTTCACATCCTTCTGGTTCATCATGGGACCATAAATATGCCAGCTTGTAGATGTTTGGTTTCTCCTGTAGATATGTTGTTTGAGCTTCTTCCTTATTAACAACTAATTGGAGACCTCTGATTGTCAATTCACCTCTAAGGTTTTCCAAATGACCTAATTCTACTAATTGACGACCTTGCTCTATACCCACCTCGAAATACTGTAGGGTCTGAAGACAAGTCAATTTCCCCATGTTAAATGGCATCCGAAAATGCTTATTATGAAGAGGTGTGCAATATATGTGTCTCAAACTTATCATATTTCCCATCTCATCCGGAAGTTCCTCAAGATAATAACAGTTATTGACTCGTAACGTTTGCAAATTGTAGAGCTTGCATATGGAGTCAGGCAAAGCTTTGATATTAGTGTCAGAGAGATCAAGATATCTCAAATGTATTAGCTTGCCAACTGAAGCTGTCAACTCCCACATCCCTGACTTGGACAAATTTAAAACTCTCAAGAACTTAAAACTTAATAACACATCTTCAGGTACAGAATTGCATCTCCAGAACAATGTGTACAAACGTCCTGGCTCATTTATCTTATCTATTTGATCCCTTGGTGAGTCCCATCCAAAGTATCGCACTTGAGAAAGATTTTCTCCTTTGACGCCCTTTTGATCAAATAATTTAGATTTTAAAATATCTCCAGCCAAATCATGCACAAGATCATGCATCTTACAGTGTGTTATATTACTGTGCTCATCTAGCTTCACATCTTGCAGCAAGGAATATTGCAACAAAAGTTGAAAAAACTTATTCCCAACATCTTCCATTAGAACGGCATCTTGAAATGGACAAAGATATCCTTCTGCCATCCAGAGTTGGATAAGTTGGTCCTTTTCAAACTCAAAATCTTTTGGAAACATTGCAAAGTAAGCAAAACATTTTTTCAGGTGTGGAGATGGTAGATAATTAAAGCTGAGTTTTAGGATTTTCTTTAAGCTATTTTCTCCATTATCATCTTGATCAAGTGGAACAAGGGGATTGCCATCAAGAATTGCCTTCCATTCATGTTTTTTCTTGTTGCGTAGGAGGCCTCCTAACACACTTGCAGCCAAAGGTAGACCTTGGCACATTTCACCAATCCTTTTCTCCATACTCATTATACCCTCTGGAACTTCCCCATCAACGAATGCTTTTTGTTTGAAAATTGACCAGCAATGATGTTCTGTTAATTTTTCCAACATATGAGGTCCTACTGCTACTGCAGACGCCACCAGTTCCATACGGGTAGTCACAAGAATGCAGTTTCCTCGAGATGTATTTATTCCTCGCAAGGTGTCCACAAACTCATGCCACAGTGTTGGGTCAACACGCCACAAATCATCCAGGACAAGCAAATACTTTCTTCCTGTCAGTTCATCTCGGAGTTTCTTGACTATTATATCTCTGCTCTGGACCTCAAGTTTCCTCTCTGTCAATGATTCGAGGATCAGTTCAAGAAAGCTCTTCATTTCCGACATTTCAGGTAGACACAACCAAACTCTCTTTTCAAAGTGTTTCTCGATCTGTTCATCATTAAAAATTCTTTTAGCCACTGTTGTTTTCCCTAAACCCCCCATACCTACTATGGGAATGGTGCACAGAACAACATCCTCTCTCATATTCAAAATCTTCTCCTTTATATCAGAAACATCCTTATCTCTACCAACAACATCCGAAATAATTACTAAGGAATCTGTTTCTCGAATTTGTAGTATTTGCGGAGAAGGAACTATCAGTGATTGGATACCCAGGTGTTTGGCTAACTTATTGATAGCCATCAACTCTTGAGTGACGTTGTTGATTTTTCGAGACATTTTGCACTTAAAAGAAGTCACAGACCTTTTTCACTGGGCTGTTTCTGATCTTCATCACTTTTGTTTTGAGAGATTCATATCTTAATCGGTCAAACACATTTTCAGCATTTTCAGCAACTCTCTCAAGCCTCATGAGCCATTGTTCCACAACCTGTTTCTCAACTTGTGGTCTTTCAACGTCATGAATGAAAGCTTGGATCAAGGATACATTTTGTATCAGCATTTCCAGATCATTGTGGAAGTTCCTTAAGCTTTTGAGCTCCTCGATAGTTAGAGAAAGCAGCTTCTCAAGCACAACTTGAAGAGTAGCTCCAATTACAGGATCGGCCATCGTTGCTATGATCCTTCACAAAGTCGTCTTCTTGTTCCTCTACACCAAAGTTCTTGATAAGTCTTCTTTTGCTAGTATTTGTTTATGGACCACTAGAAGCAAGATAGACAACAATTTGAATAAAGAATCCCTTTTGTGGATTAACAGCTAATAATCCTGTATATAAATATATTTTAGGTGGTGGTTGTGTTTTTTTTTATTATTATTATTATAATGAACGGCAGTCACTTTCCAATTAGTAATTGACATATATTGGGTTTGTTTTTCTCTTTGATATATGCAGTTTAGAACCGTTTATCTATTACTATTAGCTATTCCCATTCTCATTACTGATGTTCCGAATAGAATTATTTGGAAATAAGTATGAGGTTAAATCTGAATAATATGTGGATCATGATCCCATACAATTCCCAAGTTTACATGCAAATAGAGATATCTTTATTCTGAATAAAGTTGGATGTCTTTGGGTATGAGGTTAAATCTGAATAATGTTGGATATCTTTGAGTATGATGTTAAAAGTTGGATATCTGTATTCCCAAGTAAATATATATACAATTTTCCAAATTTACATGCAAAATTTTGCCCAATACATAGTATTATATGTATGAGCGCCTCAATGTGGACTTTTTCTTCATTCTTAGATGGAATTAATTGGGACAAAACAAAGTCAAGCAATAACTTGGCTTCAAACTGGAGGTCTTGTCTAGATATCTCACCACCCAATGTGTCCCATGTTGGATGACCAAGTGCAATGACTTCAGCCACCCATTGGAGTTGGTGGCTCTTCGTACCGATCTTCTCCGTAGACATTGTCCATAGAGCATGTTGCGAATCTTGTCATACAATCACGGAGTATTGATACCTCCAGGCGTGTAAGTCATTCTTCTTATGATATTTCACCAGTATAATATATCACTACAACAAAAACATCTTTTAGCGGTAATAAATATGCACATTAACAAAAAGTGTTAAAGTTTTTACCAACATTAGTTAATTGTTGTTGGATCCATTGACATATATAAAGAGTGTTAATTGCCGCTAAAAGTACATATTTAGTGGCAATTAAGTTATCATTTTTGAGGTAGTGTATCCCTTAGGATTCAACAAGTTCTTTTAGAATAATCTAGGAACATGAACAACAAAAAATTTATAACAAAAATACCCAAGAAATATAAAAGAGGTATGAAGAAATTGTTGATGTGTTTTTCTCGTTCTCCACTATCAGCAATGGTGAAGTATATATAGTAAAAGGAAAGAGTATCAAAACTCCATCTGCCAACATTCCAAAAAGTAATAAAGAAATGGAAGATAAATGTCATAAAGTCAATGATGGTTATATTAAAAAGAAGAATTGGAACGTCGGTCAACAGTATTATTTTGGTCATTAAGAAGAATTGGAACGTTAGGCAACACCACTATTTTGACCAAAAATAATACACCTTTTTGAATAATTTTCTGCCAATAATTGTTTTTCCTAACAATCCCCCAGTTGTCTCAAAAAGAAGATAAATAAAAATTAAGACATTTTTTTTGGTTTTCAAAGTGAGAATAATGCATCGAATCTGGTGTCTCTTGGACCTAGATAAAATAAGATTAAACTTACAAAATCGTTGGTGAAGTTTAGATTTTCTATGAATCAAACTTTTGTAAGTTCAACGTCTTATCTATCACATTATGCCTCCAGACACTTTGTTATTCATCGCGGTTTTGCGCCACTAAGTCATGTGTGTGACAAGTATTCATGAGTGCACTAGCAATTTGTCACAATTTCATAGGAGCAGCCCCACTCCGCATTCGTATAGATTCATTTATCAAGTGTATTTTACAGAGAAATACACCACCTATAAAGGATATGAATTGCATTAAGATTTTAATCAACCTCACTTTGTATTGCACTATGTTCACACACCATAGGAAGGGACATATTTTATAGTGCACCGTTTAATCAACTAATGACTTGTTATTACCCCATATGAACCTAATTCATGATATCTCCAATCACATAGATCAGGTTACCATCATTGTCGATTTTTTTTTTCAAGTTGACAAAAATCTCATGATTCCCCTCGATGTTCCAGATATCACTCTCCATTGCAAAGGTATAGTGAGGGGATTGACCAAATTCATTTCTAACTTCACATAATCTATGGAAATTAGTCCATCTCTTAGCATATGTTGTATCATGTTATGTCTCAAATGTATATATTTATTTTTCCCATTGAAAGATTTATTATTTGCTATAACTATCATTGCTTGGAAATTACAATGTATAGATACAGAAGATGTTGGTTTTATTTCAATTGGAATATTTGCTAAGAAGTTTCTCAACTATTCATCCTCATTAACATCCAACTCTAATGCAACAAATTTAGATTTCATAGTTGATCTAGCAATTATGGTCTATTTAGCTTATTTTCATGTTATGGCACCCCACCAAGGATAAATACATAACCATAAGTGGATTTTGTCTCATCTGAATCAGAGATTTAGTTAGTGTCATTGTATCCTTCCAGTTTAGTGGAAAATCCACTATAATTAATACCATAATTCATGATACCTCTCAAATATTTCAAATGTCTTATCAATGCATTTCAATGATCATTATTAGGATTATGAATATATCTACTCAATCTACACACAACATAAGCTATATTAGGTCTAGTAAAATTCAAAAAAATGTATTAGACTACCAATTATTTGAGCATATTTATTTTGAGAAATAGCTTCTCCAAAATTCTTTTTCAATTGACTATTGGTATAAAAAGGAGTGTTTACAAGTATGTCATGATCAAAAGTACACCCTAGATATTGTATGGCGTATAAGACCCTGAGGGCTTCTACACAAGATATTTGATATACATTTACACAATATAATAGAAATAAGGAAAGTCCTATCAAAGTAAAACATTTGACATATGTCACGATCCGAGTTTACACCCTAGATGTGGTCGACACTCGAGAACCCTCATCCTGGCTGACTACAAGCGGAAGACTAACTCAAGCATATAAAAACTTAAAACTGAATTAAATTCGATAAACTCAAATACTCAACTTTAGAATAATCTGAACAATACTCAATAGATAACTCAAAGTTTGTAAAAACCCCTCAAAGAAAATACATATTGAAAACTACTCAACTTTGTCTATCTATGAAGCATCTACTATTACAGAAGGATATTGAGACAAGACCCATGACATCTCAAAACTACTAACTGTAAGATAAAGGTGAAGTCCTCCGGAATATAAGAAGGCTCACCAAAGCTGACTGGAACTGCAAGTGGTATCAACAAAGCTTCTGTTGATGACCCTGAATACCTGTATCGACATCATAAAAGATACAGGCCAAATGGCGACAGTACATAGAATGTACGAGCATGTAAGGGAAATTCTAAAGCATAAACATAAGCTTGAACTAATGGAAAAGAAACATACTTACCTCTTCTCAACTAACTCAACTCAACTCAAAGAAACATAGTTCAACTCAACTCAGAGAAAATAGGGCTCAACTCAATAATAAGATACTCAACTCAGTGAAACATAGTTCAAATCAACTCAGAGAAATAGGGACTCAACTCAATAATAAGATACTCAACTCTGTGAAACATAGTTCAACTCAACTTAGAGAAATAAGACTTAACTCAATAATATGATACTCAACTCAGTGAAACATAGTTCAACTCAACT